TAAATTTTATTCGATTCACTTATTTATTATATACTAAATTTAATTAATAATAAACATTAAATTATTAGATATAATTTATTTAAGATGTTTATATTTACGAATAAATATTTTTGTTGTCTGAATTTGTTAAATAAGAAATATCTTAAAATGTTTCACAAAGATAAAAAGATAGAACATTCCAATTTTCTATCATGTGTTACTTGATTGTCAAATTTAGATTTTATAAATGATATTACTGTATTAGCATTAATATAAAATATTTAAGTATTTGGATGCTTTGATTAAAAAATAAACAGAAAAATGAATAACAAAAAAAAATACGATGCGATTTGAAACTATTTTCATGACAATAGTGAAAAAACAAAATATATCTGTAATGTATGTGAAACTTCATACAAAACAACGAGTATTTCTTCTATGAAAAGACATTTTAAAAATCATCATAAGGAAGAATACAAAGAAATGAAGATGAAAAACAAGACAAAAAAGATTGAACGAAAAACAAAGAATCAAAGTCGAAAAATCTCAAATGAAAAAGAAGAAAAGAAAAATTCTATTGTAATTAATTACAATATTAATAATGAACAATTGAAAGAAGGAAAATATTCACATGTAATATTAAAGAATGTTATAATTGATAATATTAATTTTTTAAAGCAACGAGTAGAATTTAAATCTATTGATTTTACTATATAAATTTTATTTTCATAGTGTCTGAAAATTTGTTTATAATGTTTAAATAAAAATATAAATTTATTTTAGGATTAATAATATTTTTATAGTGTCCGAATTTTTGTTTATAGTGTCCAAATAAAAAATAAATTTATTTATGATTAATAATAATATTATTTATATTAAAAATAAGTTTTATACAAATCTAATATAGAAATTGATATACAAATGAATTAATAAATAATCTTTATAAATAAGGAATGAAATCGATTTAGTTGAAAGGTATCGAATATGATTTTTTTTTAATAATCGATAAAAAAAAAAAATATCTATTGTATTTGTTGAAAGGCTTCATTGTGATAGTAGCATATTTCCGAGATCTTAGTTTAAACAAAGCTTATAGCTTCCCTAAGAATCTCGTTGTGTAATTCGTCACAACGCAAACTCAAGATATGATACGATATGAAATAAAAAATTATATTCGACCAAATGCTACGATAAAGAATGGTCTTTAAACAGGGTTAGTGCTCTTGACCATCTCCTCACTTTGAAAGGTAGCACGATCATTTGTGAAAGTTTCTTTGAGAATGACGAATGATCATATATAGTTTTTTTAATTTTTTATTTAATATGTTTAATAAAATAATTAATTAGTAAATAAAAAATATTCATTAAATGTATTTGAAAAGTTATTAATAATAAAATTATTAAAATTTGATGGTTTTTAAATGTATAAAAATACTTGAATTTTTGAATTGAAATGAATATATTTTATATTATTAAAAAAAAAATATGAATAAACTTTCTAATGAACTTTTAATAATTATATTTTCATTTCATTTACCAAATGAAATTAGTATCTTCAATAGAAGATATCGTCAACTTAAACATGTTTGTAAATTATGGAATGAACTTTATATTTTATTTCATAAAAAACATGGAATTAAATATTATCTAGTGAAAAAAGATGCAGATTCACATGATCCTCTAATTTATAAATATTATATTATATATAAACATAATAATGTTTATATACATTTTATTAATAAACCAAAATTTAACAAAAAAATAATATATGTAGATGCAGATTTAAATACTTCAATTCTAAATTTTTATTTGATACCTTCAGAATCATTTCCATCATCATTTGGAAAACTTCATTGCGAACGATGTAGATTTTTAACATATTGTAAAACAAATACTTTTTGGATTGAATCACATTATAATTGTCAAACAATTATTTGTTGTAGTTGTATTTACACTATAATACATGAAAGTTATAAATATAAATTTCATATACATAAAATTTGTTTAATGTATAATGAGATTTTAGAATTCAAATCAAACAAAAGAATAAAGAAAAAATATTAATTAAATGTAAATTTATTTTTTTTCTTTTAATTTAATATAAAAATTATTAATGATTTTTTATTTATTTATTTTTTTTTTTCATTTAATAAAAAATATTAAAAATTTGTTAAATATATAAATATTTGATTTTAAGAATTTTATTTACTTCAATTCATAAAAGAATTAAAAAAAAAAAATAAAATAAAATAAAAATGGATTATGAAGTAATTCAAAATATTTCTTTAAAGATTTTTAAAATTTTACTTAAATCTGATCCAGCTTTAAGAAGTATACCACAACAGTTACTTTTAAATAAATATCAAAATGAGCT